AGATCTCCTTGCAGGCTAAGCGAAAAGCAGAACACATCTTCCCTCGGCAGCCAAGATATCCCAAGTAGTCGCTCAAATCCACTCTGGTTGTTCATCGCGAGGTTCTTGACAGTAGCTGGGTTAACTTCTCCTATAGCCTCTAGTACTTTGGGTCTATTTGACACCCAGTTACGAATGTGGAAACCTGCCTTCCGATGGACCTCCGCCACATCCAGAGCCAACTCAATCGCTTCTTCCTCCGTGTTGACGCTGTCCAAGTAATCGTCGACGTAGTGTCTATTCTTGATTGCTGCCGCCGCTCTTGGATGGTCTTGCTCGTTTTCCGCTGCTTTCAGATTTTTGACGATTGAGCTGGAGAACAAGTCGCTCCGAAGATCGCCACGTCAGATACCATAGTAGTTATAGGTTGAGATGGCGAGTTGCGGAACACGAACAATAGTGCACTTCGGTCCTTTCTTCTGATTCTGACCTGCAGGAACATTTCTTGGATATCGCCAGAGAATGCCACTTCCCGTTCACGGAACTTAAACATAACATACAGCTGCGGAGTCAGCAAATCAGGACCATTGAACAACATCGTGTAGCCCCAAGTTCTCGACGGTGTAGACTTCCGACACATCAAATTTATTTTTACCACCGGGTTCTGATATTCCCAGCTTTACCAGTTGTGTAGTGGCAATCTTTTTGTTGATTCCGCTAGTCCACTGGATACACAAGGATTGCATTTTACCGTCGGCTCCAAGTTCATCTGCTATTGCCTTTTCTACTAGGGTGACCGATGATCCATCGTCCAGAAATGCATAGGTATCAACGGAACCATTCTTCCCGTATAACGTCACCGGAAGTATCTTGAACAACGTCGACGAAACAGGCTGACGATGGATGGTGACAGTAGCGTTGGTGGTAATCGCAGATTGTCCTGAGGTAGGCTCATAATGTAGAAGTTGATGATGGCGCTTTTCGCAACCGTTGACGCCGCAGACTTCACCTTCACAAGGCCAGCGAGTGTGCGAAACGAGGCATCTGCGGCACAGCTTGTTCTCTTTCACCACCTTCCAACGTTCGTCCAACGAAAGCTTTTTGAAAGATGTACAGTTCGCTACAATGTGGTCCTTTGATTTACAAGTCGGGCAGCATTTACCTCCTTCGTTTTCTTTGCCTTTGCTGTTCGTTGGTAGCTCCCGCCGTTCACTCTTGGGTTGATTACTGGACGACGCCGAATTTCTACGGTCATAGGTAGCGTGTGTATTCACATATTTATGCCTTATCCTTCGGTCTCGGTTTCTCCTCCTTTGGATTGTAACACCACTAGTAGCAGATGTAACTTTTCCCATGTACTCACCAAAAGCGTTCAAATCGACAACGGGTAAATTCTCTTGATAGAGTGCCCAGCTAAATTTTATTGTAGCTGGCAGCTTATCAACGAGCTCCTGAAGAAGGATAGGGTTGGAAAGGTGGTTATCCATGCCGACAGCCTTTAGATGTCCGCATAAATTTTGGACAACTAACCCAAACTGGACTAGTGTTTCCAGTCTTTCCGCCTTTGGCGCTGGAGTCGCTCGCACTTTGGCAACCATGTTATGTACGATATGTTCAGGCCTCCCATACAAGGTATGTAGCGTGGAAAGAATTTGTGGCACGGTCGATGGATGAAGAAGGAAACTACTAACTGACTCCTTTGCCGCCCCTTTGAGGGAACGTTGCAAGCGTAGTAGATTTTCCGAGTCTGAGTAGCCACAAACTTCGTTGGAGTGCTTGTAGCTATTTATGAAGAGTGGCCAGTCAATTGGATCCCCAGAGAAAACCGGAAGCTTTTTTGGAATAACATGCCTGGCAGCTAGCTGATGTTGTGTTGGACCGTATTGCACTGGTGGGAACTGATTATGATGGAAAGGGTGAAACTCCGGAGGGCGGTACGGATTGAACTGTGACTGACCCTGTGGTCCTACGTAAGAAGGCCCTAACGGATTGAGCTGTGGTTGAGCCTGTGGTCCTACATAAGAAGGCCCTAATTCAGGGGGTACAGTAAACGTATGAGGCGTTCCTATTCTGTCTAACGAACTAACGATACTGGGATCGGGTGTCGAAGTATGGGAGAAGTTATTTATTTCCCTACGCTCCAATTGGGGAGTACGATTTGTACTCACGTGCAGCATTGGCTGAGTGGATGCCACTGGTGCCACTTGTTGTGGCTCCGTTGCTCGGAATGGACGGCTCTGCTCTCGTAGGCGAAGTAGTTCTTGATGGTCTGCAAGTTGCTGCTCTAACGAACGAAATCTTCGTCGGTCTTCGTCTCTTTCCGCTTGCTCCTGCTGCCTTGCCGCCGCCAGGGTCTGGTACTGTTGATTACTCATTTCAAGCTGCATATGCAAAGCGTTTTCAGCCTTGAGTAATTGGTTCCGTTCTTCCGTTGTTGTTCCAACTGCTTCAACTTGTTTACCAGGTCCATCTCTCGTTTGCGGCTCAAATCGTTCTCCTCCTGATGTTTCGTTGCTATATCACGCTGCCTTTGCAAGCCATCTTCGATTTGAAGCAACCGTTGTCGTTCCAGATCGCGCTGCTCCTCCGCGCGTTTAAGGCGATCTACCAGCTCACGCTCACGTTGCTCATGACGCTCCAGTTCAACATCGTGCTGAAGTTGCAGCTCAAGACATTGCTGCTTTCTCAGCTTACTGGTTTCACGGTGCCAAACATCGTATGAAGAGGAGTCGATCTTCGGAACGATCTTCGGAATCGTGCCAGTTCTGGATTGCATCGGATTAATTCCAATCTTCCACTGTGCAACCCTAGCCTCTTCCAGTAGGCGAGCATATGGTTGAATGTTCACTAACTGCAGCTTTGGAGAAATCAAATGGTTTTTTGGATTCCGATGTTGATCGTTTGCCGAATCTGACTCGTTCTCCGGACTTTCGCCGATGGTTACACTATCGGTGGTACGCGGAATAGAAATTACATCCCCTTCAATATCAGATATTCTGCTATTCATCAACGGAGTTGACGTACCGACGGGTGTTGGTCGATGTTCTTTGCATCAGTCACGTTTCCTGCCACGTTGACTCGGTTGATATCAGTAGGCTTCACATGCTTCTCAACCCATGCTTCCACCTTTTTTATGCTACTCCTGCTACTATGCCGACTACGTGTGCTGGATACTTCATCGTCCTGCTGACGGAGCAGCTCATGCTTACGAGCAATGTACTCCTTTTCGCGTTCTAGTTTGTCCTTCATCGCCTTATCGATCAGCAGTTTTTTCATCCGTAGTCGTTCCTCCTCCACTTTCTCCTGTACTTGCCTTTCTTCCTCCAATCGATCTAGATCACGGGCTATCTGAGCTCTCCGTGCACTAGAGACGCTGGACCGTCCAGCAGTAGAACTAGCAGGTGGTGGGGGTACCTTAGGGGAACACTGCGCACACACAAAGTCTTTTGAGCGTAGCGTATTTAAAAAACGTAAAACGATGATTATCTCAAAACACCCCCCCTTCAGTCTTTATATTTTTTTTTCAAGAAAATTGATGGAATACCCTTAAATTTCGTGAAAAGTGACTGGTAACTTTCTTAAAAAAAATCTATAATTTTTTAAATTTTTGTTGATTTTTACAAGTTGATGAAAATGCATATTTTTAGTAAAATAATAATTTATTTGGATTCTACGCATAATTTTCGATAACTTTGCATATAGAAACTTTTTTCCTTAGTCCAGCCGTTCTCAAGTTAATGCGAATTAAAAAAATATAATTATAACAATTTTCAACATTTTAGGCCATTTTCAAATGTTCGTCGAGATGTCCAGCAACGAGATTTTTTTTCATGATTGTATATTAAAAAACAAACAATTCATTCTCAGATATGGTAGCTGTCAGACTTACCCGTTTCTGTGAGTGGGCTCAATGTACCCCTCGTTCGAAGAGTAGCCCAGTTCGAAGGTGAGCTATTATCAATACTGGCAACACGTTATCGTGGCGAGGTCGTCAGGCACATCGTTGAATGGTCCTCTTTCGATTGCTGACTGACCTCGAGGTAAGACGTGTGGACGTGCGCAATGCGTAAGTATGGAGCTCCGAAGTGCTGGGTGATTCCCGTTCAGAGTATGGTGCTCACATTTTGGCGATCCTGCCAGGAGTCCAATTCTGGATAATTGGACTGTCAGGAACTTTTGGCACACGAGCAACTGACGGGAATCACTCGGCACGATAAAATAAGAAAATAAGAGAAAATATGGCTTACTGAAAAGCACGTGGTATACGAGTCGGGACGATCGTAGACAAAAAAAAAAAAAAAAAAAAAGAATCATGAGACCACAGATTCCATGTATGAGGCGGCTAACGCATGAGAGTAGCGTCTATTTTACGATTAAGTTTAATCGTTTGCCATAGGAGATGGTTCTTTCTGTGGACCGCGGAGGTCGCTTAGAAAGTTGCTGGATTGGTCGGGAGGACTCCAGAGTATTACGATTTGGGACGATCGTACGGTAAATGAAGAGGTTTGTTTTCACCCTTGTATTTAGACTGCGGAGGTTGCTAATAAAATATCAAAATTTGTTAGGAAGACAAACTTATGAATCGGGACGATTTCATAGGCTTCATTTTACACTCGTCATAGACCGCGGAGGATGCTATGAAAACTCCTGAATAGGTCAGAAGGACCTCTGAGTACTACGATTTGGGACAATCGTACTATAGACAGTGGAAGTTTCGTTTTTTTTACAGCTACGCCGACGTAGCTAATGAAATTTCTGCAATGGTCAAGAGGACCAGAGTGATTATCATTTTGCGCTTGGAGTCGACAGGATGAAAATAAACGCCTTTCTCTCATATGCTAACCGTAGCAGCCATGCTTGTGCCGAGGCTTGTGTCTGGCCATTTGTTCCTGGATGGAAAAGTCATTCGGGGTCCTGACCGATTTTACATCCCTTGAAAGTTTTAACATTGCGTTGTTTGTAAATTACAGGTTACGATTGCGAAAAAATCGGAAAGAAACGGAGATAACCCTATTCTCGAGATGGAAAACGAAGGAAAGTTCGTCCGAGCCGGAGATAGTTCGGATAGTGAGCATGATGAGCCGCACAACATCGATAGTTCAGTGTATTCGGATGACCGGAGTCAGGAACCGAGCGGAAGTGAAGCAGGCTGCGGAAGTGAAGCAGGCTGCGAAAGCGATCAGGAGCATGACGAAAGCGCTGGTTCGATCACGTCGGACACTCCAGATTCTCCAAGTACGCCGAGCGAAAATGATGAATGCGTTGATCAGGTAAGCTCGGTAAACAACGGGACACCACCGGAGGAACCGAAAGGAACAAGGAAGGAATCCGAGACTGTTGAGAAGATCGAACGCTTGGAGAAGGTCATAGCGGAGTTGACGAAAACGTTGAGCACGTACGAACGACCGGGTAACAGGACGCGTCCCGTTGTTGACGAAAATTGGAGCGTCCCCCACGATTCGAGTGACCGCCCAGACGGCATTCAAGCCACTGTGAGATGGGACCATATCAGACCTTTCCCGAGCGGTATTCCCGCGAACAAAATGTGGGAGGAATGGAACCGCTTTATAGAGAATTTTGAAATAGCAGCCTCCCTGGGAAACGCTGTCAATGCCGCACAACGATCGAAACTTCTCTTCCTTTGCTTGGGTCCAGAGCTTCAGGGCATTGCAAGAGCTGCCAAGCTGCGACCGAGCCTGGCAGAGCCCGACTGCTATTCAGCGTTCGTGAACAATATCCAACGGTACCTACAGTCCATGACGGATACAGCAGCGGAGCACGAGGCGTTCGCCGGAATGATGCAAGGTCCTGGAGAATCCGCGATAGCATTCCACGCCAGACTTCAAGAGAAGGTTAGATTATGCGGCTACAGTCCCACTGACCAAGAGCGTTTCGTCAGAGCCCAATTGCTGAAAGGACTTCGAAACAGGGATCTCACCAAAGCAGCGAGGATTTACAACTACGACGTGAATTTCATCGTCCAATCAGCGACGAGAGAAGAGGCTTATGAAGCGGAAACGGCGCAGCCTAGTGGTTCCGACATTTCCGCAGTTCGTCGGGGAAATTGGAAACAGCCCACCGAAATGCATCGAAAGCGCGGGAGAGAGGATGGTCGAGATGATATACGTCAGCCAAAGCGATACCGCAGCTCCGACAAGCGGTCTGATGGACGTCGCTATCGTTGTTCCCGTTGCAACCGTCCCTCACACAGGAGTGGCACTACTTGCCCAGCGCTTGACAAGAACTGCAACGGATGCGGCGAGCGGGGACACTTCATTGCGACGTGCCGCAAGCGACGCGTGAACAACGTGCAACGTGATACGGATCGAATCAACCCTCCTGGTTGGACTGATGATGATGAGGAAGAAAAAAAGGTACTAATCAAGTGAAGCTTGTAAATTTTAACGAATAAATGACAAGTTTGTTTTTTTATATGAAGAGTAAATTGTTTCATTTGCATTTTACCATTCCAGCAAGTAAATGCACTGTCCCTTAGCGACGTGTTGGTTGATTGTAGCGTGGGGTCATCAAGTTCAATAACGTTCTTGATTGACTCCGGGGCCGATGTGAACGTCATCGGAGGTAACGACTGGAAGCTCCTAAAAAGAGAATTTCATCAAGGACGGGCTGAACTCCAGCCGGTTCAGCCGTCAATAGACAATGGGTTACACGCTTACGGGTCAAAACAACCAATGACCATCAATGCTGCGTTCAGAGCTAACATTATTGTACCTGGAACTTCGAAACCCCCAGTTGAAGCATTATTTTACGTTGCGAGCCAAGGGCGACGATCGTTACTCGGCCGGTCAACGGCTAGCGACATGAGCTTGCTGCATATAGAAGTGGCGATCAATAGTTGCGAGAACTCGGATAACACTCAAGAGTTCCCCAAAATGCCGGGAATCAAAATCAAGTTTAGCGTAGACAGGAGCGTTGTTCCAGTAAAAAACGCATATTACAACGTTCCCGCAGCCTTCAGAGAGGGTGCGCGAAACAGACTGCAGGAGATGGAAACCCAAGGTATAATAGAGCGAGTCACGAAGGCTCCGGAGTGGATAAGCGGCATGTCTGCGGTCGCCAAAGGCAAAGACGACTTCCGGTTGGTCGTCAACATGAGGGGACCTAACAAGGCGATCAACCGGGAGTACTACCGCCTACCACTGATCGACGAAATGAAAGTAAAACTTCATGGGGCTCGATACTTCTCCAAGCTCGACCTGAGCAATGCATACTACCATCTGGAACTGTGTAGTGAGTCTCGCGATCTCACAACCTTTCTAACCGAAACGGGGATGTTCCGTTTCACAAGGTTGATGTTTGGCGTTAACTGTGCGCCAGAGATATTCCAACGCGAGATGGCCCGTATCTTGGAAGGCGTGGAAAACGTGATAGTATATATCGATGATATATTGGTACACGCAGCAACCTTGGAAGAACTCCGTGCAACAGTAGCACAAGTGTTGCGGATATTGAGAGCAAACAATCTAACAATCAACACGAAGAAATGTGAATTCGATAAGATTCGCATCAAATTCCTTGGCCACGAACTAGACAAAAGCGGCTTTCACATCGAAGAAGCTAAGGTGAAGAGCATTCAGTGTTTCAGAGAACCGGCAACCATCTCAGAACTCCGGAGTTTCTTGGGTCTCGCTTCGTTTGTCAGTCCCCATGTCCAAAATTTTGCCGACATAACTAGCCCACTATGGTCCGCAACAACCCAGTGGAGCTGGGGACCTCAGCAAAAAGAAGCCTTCAAGTTAGTCAAGGAACGGATTATACAATGCACCATAGCACAAGGTTTCTTTTCCGAAGATGACAGGACAATTTTATTCACGGACGCCTCACCGATAGCACTAGGTGCTGTTCTAGTACAAGAGGACAAGGATCAGACTCTCAGAATAATCTCATTCGCCTCCAAAGCCCTTACGGTGACCGAAAGGAAATATCCACAGAACCAACGGGAAGCGTTGGCGGCCGTCTGGGCTGTGGAACATTTTTCCTATTTTCTACTGGGCAGACGTTTCACGCTCCGCACGGATGCTCAGGGAGTAACATTTATCTTAAACCGTGCTCGGGAAGAATCAAAGAGAGCCCTCACGCGGGCAGATGGCTGGGCTCTTCGGCTCAGTCCGTATGATTACGACGTAGAATATGTCCGCGGTAGGGACAACATCGCGGACTCATCGTCAAGGCTCTACAGCGGAAATGATCACCCATTTGAAGAAGAAACCAGCCCCTGGGAAATAGCTTCGCTCGAGGCAAACGCGGTTGATTTTCTGACAAATGAAGAGATAACAGAAGCTACTGCCAGAGACGAGACACTACAATCGGTAATGCAATCTTTACAGACCGGAGAATGGCCTGAACATCTTCGTAAGTTTAAAACACTTGAAAGCGATCTGACTACTCGAGATGGTATCGTTGTGAAAACCGGTTGCGTGGTAGTTCCCGAACATCTCCACAAGAGAGCTCTGGAAATCGCACACGCAGGTCACCCATCGGCGGCAAAAATGAAATCCATTTTACGTCAACGCGTGTGGTGGCCTGGTATGGCCACAGACGCTGAAAAGTGGGTAAATGCTTGCGTTACCTGTGCTGTAAACGGTCGACCGGAGAAAACCACTCCAATGAGACGTACCTTCGCTCACAAGGCCGTTTGGGAAACCATCGCATTAGATTTTAATGGCCCATATGTTCAGTTCGGTGGGATATCTATCCTCGCTGTCGTTGACTACCGATCGCGGTATTTGATCGCCAAGCCAGTGAAGTCGACGAGCTTCATTCACACGAAGCCGATACTGGAAATGATCTTCGAAAGGGAAGGTTTTCCGGCGAACGTTAAAACCGATAACGGACCGCCCTTCAACGGACACGAATACAAAAATTATTGTATTGAACGAGGAATTAACACCATTTTCTCCACTCCGCTATTCCCTCAGCAGAATGGTCTCGTAGAGGGCTATATGAAGGTCATCAACAAGGCGATGTCCACTGCGTCTTCTAATAAAACTAACTTCGTCGAAGACCTTCGCGCAGCTGTGGATGCTCATAACGCGGCCACTCACCGAGTAACGAGAATAGCACCTGAAGAGGTCATGACAGGCCGTAAAATCAAACGTGGCCTTCCACTTTTGCGTCACGAGAGCAGCAATGTTGATGATGAACTGTTGGAGCAACGGGATCGATCAGCTAAACTACTGGCCAAACAGCGTGAAGATGCTCGGCGGGATGCCCGGCCATGTCGAGTTAAGCCTGGCGATGATGTCATCGTTGAACGTTCGTCTCGGGCAAAAGGGGAGACTCGATTTTCTCCAACGCGTTTTACGGTGGTCAAAGAACAGAACGGCAGCCTAACACTAACCAACGACGAAGGTCAAATTCTTAAACGCCACGTATCGCAAACCAGAAAGGTTCACCCGTGGCGCGACGACGACGAGAAAGCAGCAGAAAACCTAAAATGTGATCAGCCGGACCAAGTAGGATCACAACGCACAACTCGGGAAAGAAAGACGCCTGCATATCTGAAGGATTACGTGAACCAAGTTGAAACCAGAGAGCTGAAATTGTAAACAGTTTTAATCACTTGGTTTTGTTCTGTACTGTTTTCCGAGAATAAAAGATTCACCTCACCGCAGCAGTTGTTTTTTCTCTTTTCAAAATATTGACAGATATGCTGAGTTGCTGAATAAAAGTCACGGAGAGATCAGTTTACCCAGACGGTTCAAAGAGATTACCCAAATCAACCGGTTTAGTCAATTTTGAGTAAAGTGAGTCTATATTTGGGGAATATGTTCTTAGCGTGATTTTTGTAATGCACGGAAAATCAAAACAACTCAGAATTGAGTCATTTAAACTCATCTTGACACTTAGATCAGTAACCCAACCGATATACCCTGTAGATATTAACAAACCGGACACAACGGAAATGTTGTCTTTATTTCAAAACAAATCCTTGACCTATTTTTTTTTTTTTCTTAATTTCCTGGGTCGTAATTTTAGCTTTCTCAAAGTATTGTTTCTTCTCTATAATTTATCATGCGTTTTTCTATGGAGGAGAAGGAAGATGTGAGTGGGCTCAATGTACCCCTCGTTCGAAGAGTAGCCCAGTTCGAAGGTGAGCTATTATCAATACTGGCAACACGTTATCGTGGCGAGGTCGTCAGGCACATCGTTGAATGGTCCTCTTTCGATTGCTGACTGACCTCGAGGTAAGACGTGTGGACGTGCGCAATGCGTAAGTATGGAGCTCCGAAGTGCTGGGTGATTCCCGTTCAGAGTATGGTGCTCACAGTTTCTATCTAGAGGCAGCGGAAGAGAAGCACGTTGATGTGGTCAAATGAAAGATTTGTTGAGATAAGAAACAGTATATATTTATTATTTTATTTTACAACTCATATTATTTGAATACATTGAATAATTTGGGTGTATCGTTTGAATTAGAGAATATTTTTACTGCAATTTGGACTGGTATATCTGAGGACCCTAAATAAAAAAAGCCCGTCCATGATTTATTCTCCATTCCCATCAGAAGCCTTTCAATCTAAATAATTAGTGTTGCATTTGCTCAACCTTATACTTCTTAGAACATTTCATCCTAAAATAACACAAATATGGCTGCCTTGCAAGGTTCCATTCTTCCAAGTGAAGTCTCCATTTCCTAGAAACATTCGATCTTATAAACAGAACAAACAACCCATATTAGCCCCAATGAATGGCCTGTCCAGCGCAGCGAAAATCATGCAAATGTGAAATCGAAAACAAGCCACGCTGATTTTCCCGGGCGAGTGCGGTTCGGTTTCGATTTTACAGCTCATTTACGCTGACTCCGAGATCTCATTTCCAGTCCCGGCCGGATTTGATTTGCATTTACATGAATTTTAATACGCTTGGCTCAGTCCTCGCGCTCAGCGGCTGTGTGAAGAGGCCAATTTGGCAAAACAGGATACACTATTGCTTCTGACACACAAACCACTGTTGGCCACTTTATTTTTTTTGTGCTCTGCCGCCGTAGCGAATAAAGGCTGTCAGCTCACGATTGTTTATTCTGCAGATTTTTTTTTCGAGCTACTTCTTGGGTTGTTTGCGTCAGAGTGCTACTGCCGCCACCCTCACCCGGCGAGGCCCAGATGTTTTGAACTTGAGCTTCTGCTCGAGACGTTTCTTGCTACCGATTTCCCTTTTTTCTTAGCCGTATTTGAGACTGTGGAGAAAGCTCCGAAGCTCATTAAAAATTCATTTATTCCGTAATTAGTGTTTCACTTCATCCATCTAGAGTATGCTTTTCCACTGGAGTGCACTACACGGCGCGCTGAAGCTTCGCTGATTTGCGGAATGTGGTGCAAGAAAGGAGGCTCCCCCAGAGGCCATAGATAAGCAAACGATGGCGACAATGAAAGTAAGTAGATGAAAACTAGCCTAGGAGCGAGATGAAATCCTGCAAATTTTCGAATTTATTTTTAATCAGGACCTATAGGTTGGGAATAATTTAATGATTCAGATTTGTATCATTCATAGAAGATCCTAAATATAACCAACACTGCTTTTACAGAGCTAAGTGAACTTAACGATTATCAAATTGAATAGCTGAGCTGGGAATTGCACACCACAAAATGGCTTGACATTCCACAGAATTTCATTCAGTCGACGCCCTGTCTAGCTAAACCAAATCAGGCTCTTTATTAGCTTTGTTTCCATTATTACACCTACAAAGTAATATCACTCTCATCATAATTTCACCCGCTGTAACACCCGTCTTCCTATTCACCATAATAATGAAAGCCACCACCGCGAAGCACAATGCGGCCGTCACCTACCCAATTATATGCGTGCGAAAACAGGGATCACTTTCGACAAAATATTACCACATCGGCCACTGACGGCGGCGGTGGCCTCGGCGTCACCACCGTCACCGACGGCGACCGACAGCGAGATGAAGGAAGCCAAAATAAGCTTTAACAAATGAAGGACTAACAATGAAAGACCGTCACCGTCGTTGTGGCACTAGACGAATAATACAGGAGGGCTCTCTGTCATCACGTCAGTTAATAGAGATTGAATGGGAGGACGCTCAACGATGGTTCGCGATTTTTCCCATTATATTTGGCTGCGCCATTGTCCCGGCTGTCTAATTTTGGCAGCTGATGGGAAACAATGACGGTGGGATTCATTTCGGAGTAATTTACCTTTGTGCTCACCGGGATTAATTTGCGACCAAACTGATAGTGTTTGTATGGGTTTGATTGCAGCTACATCGTCAATTTTTTTCCTGGCATGGTCCAAGATTCTTGAATACATCACCGTTTTGACCACGCGCATACGGACAGATCGGTAATTTGGAACTGCATCCGCTAAAAGTACATGTAAACCACAAATAGCTTCAAAACAGTTGTCCTCCTTTTTCCACTACCAGCACACTTGTCCATATACAATTGTGGTTACTTGTGCGCAACTTATTCCAGTCACAATCAAGTAGCAGCAACTTATTTCGATGGAAGTGTGCTGCTTGGGAAGGCGGATATTTACCGGAGCTCGCCAGCTGCCTTCGAACTATCCATCAAGTTCACCTTAATTCTTTACTATTCAGCGAAAAACTTTCACCTTGCACAGAAAACCCTCCAAGTCAATAAGCGGATCCCCACAAAGGGTCGTAGCCCCTCATTTACCGAACATTATGATGGCAATAAAAGTTTTAATGATTTTACCAGGCAATGCCCACTGGCTTGAGAACTTTGCGGTCCTCAGGTGAGAGACCGAGTCAATAAATATTGCCATCGGCGGTGGTTTTACTCCTCCAAAGTTTTCCAAGAACCCCAGCCATTCCGAAGCTCTGAAAGAGAAAGTGCAATAAATGGACCCATCAATTACGGCCCCATGAAGCTGGATCTGTGTCCACGTTTGGCAGCGCAACACTTAAATTAATTGAATTTCGATGCCGAACCGAGCTGGTTCTCGGGCAACTGACTTGTAAGCAATGCTCATGTAGTCTGTGGGTGGGTATCAATCGAGTTCGCCACTGCTGCCCGGTTGGCCACCGATATGTGTAATTTAATTAGACGCTCTTTCAAGCTCGCAACCTGCTGCAGCCCGGTCGACGGTTTGGTTGTTTTCTGCCAGTCTATTCATTCGGGTCCTGGGCAGTGGTTGTTTGATGTTGGTTTGTGGATTTCGGAGCTCTCACCCAGGGGTTCGTTAGAACCGGAAATGGATGAGTTCTGTGGAACTGTGAAAATGATATCAATTCCACTAATTTGACTTGTTCATACACAGGCGACCGCTTTATTGGGTTCTGGCCAATTTGAAGTGTGGGTATTGAGGGGGCATTTGAGGTGAGCTACTGTACTGGAAAGTGCTAGGGTTTTCAAGTGAACAATTTTCCAAAGATAATATCTTTCTATTCATTCTCGTGAGTTTAAATTGAATAAGCCCAATGTATCGAATCAATTTATTGTAACCATGAAATGAGATCGTTCAGTTTTGGCAGATCTTTTCAAGCTCTAGATGCTGAGTAACATTTACTTAGTTCTGAGTACTATTTACTTACACATACACTAATTTTTAAAAGAAAGGTGTCACTAATTTGCCTCCAGGCTACTAACTAATTGTTCTATTGTACACCTGGATGCACTTTGTAAAGGGTGATACGGTCAAAATTTGGTCAATATCAACTTGACGTATTTCTTTCAATTTTGCATTTTAAAAACCTGAACACCCCTCATTTTTAAGGTGTGTGTGTGTAGAATGTTGCTCCTATTTTGATTTTGGAATTCACTCTTCAGTTGTCAAAATGCCGTCCAAGCAAGAAGAGCAGCGTATCAAAATTTTGCTCGCGCATCGCGAAAATCCGAGCTACTCGCACGCAAAGTTGGCAAAATCGCTAAAAGTTGCCAAATCAACCGTTACAAATGTAATTAAAGTGTTTGGGGAACGTTTGTCGACAGCCAGGAAGTCTGGATCGGGGGGAAATCGAAAACCGGAAGCCGCTGAGACGACAAAGAGAGTTGCCGGTAGTTTCAAGCGAAACCCTAACCTCTCTCTCCGAGATGCCGCAAATAAGCTGGGTGTGTCGTGCATCGAGCCAAAAAACGAGCCGGACTATCGACTTACAAGAAGGTAGTGACTCCAAATCGCGATGATAAACAAAATACGACGGCCACAGCGCGATCCCGGAGGCTGTACACGACGATGCTGACGAAGTTTGACTGCGTGGTAATGGACGACGAAACCTACGTCAAAGCCGACTACAAGCAGCTTCCGGGACAGGAGTTTTATACGGCAAAAGGAAGGGGAAAGGTAGCAGATGTTTTCAAGCACATGAAACTGTCAAAGTTCGCAAAGAAATATCTGGTTTGGCAAGCCACCTGTACTTGTGGCTTGAAAAGCAGCATTTTCATAGCTTCCGGGACTGTCAACCAAGAAATTTACGTGAAAGAGTGTTTGAATAAACGTCTGCTGCCTTTCCTGAAGAAACACGGTTGTT